TAGTGTGTTGACTGACACATGTATTACCTCCCCGTCCACATCGAACACCGACACAATCAATATGTAGTGTGTTGACTGACACATGTATTACCTCCCCGTCCACATCGAACACCGACACAATCAATATGTAGTGTGTTGACTGACACATGTATTACCTCCCCGTCCACATCGAACACAGACACAATCAATATGAAGTGTGTTGACTGACACATGTATTACCTCCCCGTCCACATCGAACACCGACACAATCAATATGAAGTGTGTTGACTGACACATGTATTACCTCCCCGTCCACATCGAACACCGACACAATCAATATGAAGTGTGTTGACTGACACATGTATTACCTCCCCGTCCACATCGAACACCGACACAATCAATATGTAGTGTGTTGACTGACACATGTATTACCTCCCCGTCCACACCGACACAATCAATATGAAATGTGTTGACTGACACATGTATTACCTCCCCGTCCACATCGAACACCGACACAATCAATATGTAGTGTGTTGACTGACACATGTATTACCTCCCCGTCCACACCGACACAATCAATATGAAATGTGTTGACTGACACATGTATTACCTCCCCGTCCACACCGACACAATCAATATGAAGTGTGTTGACTGACACATGTATTACCTCCCCGTCCACACCGACACAATCAATATGAAATGTGTTGACTGACACATGTATTACCTCCCCGTCCACATCGAACACCGACACAATCAATATGAAATGTGTTGACTGACACATGTATTACCTCCCCGTCCACATCGAACACCGACACAATCAATATGAAGTGTGTTGACTGACACATGTATTACCTCCCCGTCCACATCGAACACCGACACAATCAATATGTAGTGTGTTGACTGACACATGTATTACCTCCCCGTCCACATCGAACACCGACACAATCAATATGAAATGTGTTGACTGACACATGTATTACCTCCCCATCCACATCGAACACCGACACAATCAATATGAAGTGTGTTGACTGACACATGTATTACCTCCCCGTCCACATCGAACACCGACACAATCAATATGAAGTGTGTTGACTGACACATGTATTACCTCCCCGTCCACACCGACACAATCAATATGAAATGTGTTGACTGACACATGTATTACCTCCCCGTCCACATCGAACACCGACACAATCAATATGAAATGTGTTGACTGACACATGTATTACCTCCCCGTCCACATCGAACACCGACACAATCAATATGTAGTGTGTTGACTGACACATGTATTACCTCCCCGTCCACATCGAACACCGACACAATCAATATGAAATGTGTTGACTGACACATGTATTACCTCCCCGTCCACATCGAACACCGACACAATCAATATGAAATGTGTTGACTGACACATGTATTACCTCCCCATCCACATCGAACACCGACACAATCAATATGAAGTGTGTTGACTGACACATGTATTACCTCCCCGTCCACACCGACACAATCAATATGAAGTGTGTTGACTGACACATGTATTACCTCCCCGTCCACACCGACACAATCAATATGAAGTGTGTTGACTGACACATGTATTACCTCCCCGTCCACATCGAACACCGACACAATCAATATGAAATGTGTTGACTGACACATGTATTACCTCCCCGTCCACACCGACACAATCAATATGAAGTGTGTTGACTGACACATGTATTACCTCCCCGTCCACATCGAACACCGACACAATCAATATGAAATGTGTTGACTGACACATGTATTACCTCCCCGTCCACATCGAACACAGACACAATCAATATGAAATGTGTTGACTGACACATGTATTACCTCCCCGTCCACACCGACACAATCAATATGAAGTGTGTTGACTGACACATGTATTACCTCCCCGTCCACATCGAACACCGACACAATCAATATGAAGTGTGTTGACTGACACATGTATTACCTCCCCGTCCACATCGAACACCGACACAATCAATATGAAGTGTGTTGACTGACACATGTATTACCTCCCCGTCCACACCGACACAATCAATATGAAGTGTGTTGACTGACACATGTATTACCTCCCCGTCCACATCGAACACCGACACAATCAATATGAAGTGTGTTGACTGACACATGTATTACCTCCCCGTCCACACCGACACAATCAATATGAAGTGTGTTGACTGACACATGTATTACCTCCCCGTCCACATCGAACACCGACACAATCAATATGAAACGTGTTGACTGACACATGTATTACCTCCCCGTCCACATCGAACACCGACACAATCAATATGAAGTGTGTTGACTGACACATGTATTACCTCCCCGTCCACACCGACACAATCAATATGAAGTGTGTTGACTGACACATGTATTACCTCCCCGTCCACATCGAACACCGACACAATCAATATGAAATGTGTTGACTGACACATGTATTACCTCCCCGTCCACATCGAACACAGACACAATCAATATGAAATGTGTTGACTGACACATGTATTACCTCCCCGTCCACATCGAACACAGACACAATCAATATGAAATGTGTTGACTGACACATGTATTACCTCCCCGTCCACATCGAACACCGACACAATCAATATGAAATGTGTTGACTGACACATGTATTACCTCCCCGTCCACATCGAACACAGACACAATCAATATGAAATGTGTTGACTGACACATGTATTACCTCCCCGTCCACATCAAACACCGACACAATCAATATGTAGTGTGTTGACTGACACATGTATTACCTCCCCGTCCACACCGAACACAGACACAATCAATATGTAGTGTGTTGACTGACACATGTATTACCTCCCCGTCCACACCGAACACAGACACAATCAATATGTAGTGTGTTGACTGACACATGTATTACCTCCCCGTCCACACAGACACAATCAATATGAAGTGTGTTGACTGACACATGTATTACCTCCCCGTCCACATCGAACACCGACACAATCAATATGAAGTGTGTTGACTGACACATGTATTACCTCCCCGTCCACATCGAACACCGACACAATCAATATGTAGTGTGTTGACTGACACATGTATTACCTCCCCGTCCACACCGACACAATCAATATGAAGTGTGTTGACTGACACATGTATTACCTCCCCGTCCACATCGAACACCGACACAATCAATATGAAGTGTGTTGACTGACACATGTATTACCTCCCCGTCCACATCGAACACCGACACAATCAATATGTAGTGTGTTGACTGACACATGTATTACCTCCCCGTCCACATCGAACACCGACACAATCAATATGAAGTGTGTTGACTGACACATGTATTACCTCCCCGTCCACATCGAACACCGACACAATCAATATGTAGTGTGTTGACTGACACATGTATTACCTCCCCGTCCACACCGACACAATCAATATGAAGTGTGTTGACTGACACATGTATTACCTCCCCGTCCACACCGACACAATCAATATGAAGTGTGTTGACTGACACATGTATTACCTCCCCGTCCACATCGAACACCGACACAATCAATATGAAGTGTGTTGACTGACACATGTATTACCTCCCCGTCCACATCGAACACCGACACAATCAATATGTAGTGTGTTGACTGACACATGTATTACCTCCCCGTCCACACCGACACAATCAATATGAAGTGTGTTGACTGACACATGTATTACCTCCCCGTCCACATCGAACACAGACACAATCAATATGAAGTGTGTTGACTGACACATGTATTACCTCCCCGTCCACATCGAACACCGACACAATCAATATGTAGTGTGTTGACTGACACATGTATTACCTCCCCGTCCACATCGAACACCGACACAATCAATATGAAGTGTGTTGACTGACACATGTATTACCTCCCCGTCCACATCGAACACCGACACAATCAATATGTAGTGTGTTGACTGACACATGTATTACCTCCCCGTCCACATCGAACACCGACACAATCAATATGAAGTGTGTTGACTGACACATGTATTACCTCCCCGTCCACATCGAACACCGACACAATCAATATGAAGTGTGTTGACTGACACATGTATTACCTCCCCGTCCACATCGAACACCGACACAATCAATATGTAGTGTGTTGACTGACACATGTATTACCTCCCCGTCCACATCGAACACCGACACAATCAATATGAAATGTGTTGACTGACACATGTATTACCTCCCCGTCCACATCGAACACCGACACAATCAATATGTAGTGTGTTGACTGACACATGTATTACCTCCCCGTCCACACCGACACAATCAATATGAAGTGTGTTGACTGACACATGTATTACCTCCCCGTCCACATCGAACACCGACACAATCAATATGTAGTGTGTTGACTGACACATGTATTACCTCCCCATCCACATCGAACACCGACACAATCAATATGAAGTGTGTTGACTGACACATGTATTACCTCCCCGTCCACATCGAACACCGACACAATCAATATGTAGTGTGTTGACTGACACATGTATTACCTCCCCGTCCACATCGAACACCGACACAATCAATATGAAATGTGTTGACTGACACATGTATTACCTCCCCATCCACACCGACACAATCAATATGAAATGTGTTGACTGACACATGTATTACCTCCCCGTCCACACCGACACAATCAATATGAAATGTGTTGACTGACACATGTATTACCTCCCCGTCCACACCGACACAATCAATATGAAATGTGTTGACTGACACATGTATTACCTCCCCATCCACATCGAACACCGACACAATCAATATGTAGTGTGTTGACTGACACATGTATTACCTCCCCGTCCACATCGAACACCGACACAATCAATATGAAGTGTGTTGACTGACACATGTATTACCTCCCCGTCCACATCGAACACCGACACAATCAATATGAAGTGTGTTGACTGACACATGTATTACCTCCCCGTCCACATCGAACACAGACACAATCAATATGAAGTGTGTTGACTGACACATGTATTACCTCCCCATCCACATCGAACACCGACACGTTGGGCAGAGACTTCCTGTGTTCCGGGTGGCCCTGCTCCACGACAAGCTGTCTCGCTCTCGCTTGCAGGAGGCGGATAAACTCATCCTCGTCAGTAATGCTGAGCAATGAGTGCCGGAACTCCAGGTCCATGAACAATGTTGCAAATGTCCGACCAGTCTCCAAGTAGTTTTTGGTGGTTTTCTGCAGTTAAGAGAGGCAATGATATAATATGGCTATGGTGAGGTGAGGTGAGGTGAGGTGAGGTGAGGTGAGGTGAGGTGAGGTGAGGTGAGGTGAGGTGAGGTGAGGTGAGGTGAGGTGAGGTGAGGTGAGGTGAGGTGAGGTGAGGTGAGGTGAAATGGGGTTTAACATTGTGTTCAAGCTTATTGCACTTATATTGTGACCAAACCCTGGACCTTCCATTCTCCGGGCACACTCTCTACCACAAGTCTACTGGCGGACCCACAAAGTCTCCTGGTGGACCCACACATTCAACTGGCGAACCCACACAGTCAACTGGCGGACCCACACAGTCAACTGGCGGACCCACACAGTCAACTGGCGGACCCACACAGTCAACTGGCGGACCCACACAGTCAACTGGCGGACCCACACAGTCAACTGGCAGACCCACACAGTCAACTGGTGGACCCACACAGTCTACTGGAGGACCCACAAAGTCAACTTGCGGACCCACACAGTCAACTCGAGTCAACTGGCGGACCCACACAGTCAACTGGAGCGAACTTGTGGACCCACACAGTCAACTGGAGTCAACTGGCGGACCCACACAGTCAACTGGCGGACCCACACAGTCAACTGACGGACCCACACAGTCAACTGACGGACCCACACAGTCAACTGGCAGACCCACACAGTCAACTGGCGGACCCACACAGTCAACTGGCAGACCCACACAGTCAACTGGCAGACCCACACAGTCAACTGACAGACCCACACAGTCAACTGGCAGACCCACACAGTCTACTGGCAGACCCACACAGTCAACTGGAGTCAACTGGAGTCAACTGACGGACCCACACAGTCAACTGGCAGACCCACACAGTCTACTGACGGACCCACACAGTCTACTGACGGACCCACACATTCAACAGACGGACCCACACAGTCAACTGGCGGACCCACACAGTCAACTGGCAGACCCACACAGTCTACTGACGGACCCACACATTCAACAGACGGACCCACACAGTCAACTGGCGGACCCACACAGTCAACTGGCAGACCTACACAGTCAACTGGCAGACCCACACAGTCTACTGACGGACCCACACATTCAACAGACGGACCCACACAGTCTACTGACGGACCCACACATTCAACAGACGGACCCACACAGTCAACTGGCGGACCCACACAGTCAACTGGCAGACCTACACAGTCTACTGACGGACCCACACAGTCTACTGACGGACCCACACATTCAACAGACGGACCCACACAGTCTACTGACGGACCCACACAGTCTACTGACGGACCCACACATTCAACTGACGGACCCACACAGTCAACTGGCGGACCCACACAGTCTACTGACGGACCCACACAGTCTACTGACGGACCCACACAGTCTACTGACGGACCCACACATTCAACAGACGGACCCACACAGTCTACTGACGGACCCACACAGTCTACTGACGGACCCACACATTCAACTGACGGACCCACACAGTCAACTGGCGGACCCACACAGTCTACTGACGTACCCACACAGTCGTCTACTGACGGACCCACACAGTCAACTGGCAGACCCACACAGCCAACTGGCGGACCCACACAGTCGTCTGGCAGACCCACACAGTCAACTGGCAGACTCACACAGTCAACTGGCAGACCCACACAGCCAACTGGCAGACCCACACAGCCAACTGGCGGACCCACACAGTCATCTGGCAGACCCACACAGTCAACTGGCGGACCCACACAGTCAACTGGCAGACCCACACAGTCAACTGGCAGACTCACACAGTCAACTGACAGACCCACACAGTCAACTGGCAGACCCACACAGTCAACTGGCAGACTCACACAGTCAAATGGCAGACCCACACAGTAAACTGGCAGACCCACACAGTCAACTGACAGACCCACACAGTCAAATGGCAGACCCACAAAGTCTACTGGGGTCAACTGGAGTCAACTGGCTGAACTACACAGTCTATTGGCAGACCCACACAGTCAACTGGCTGACCTACCAAGTCTATTGGCAGACCCACACAGTCAACTGGGGTCAACTGGAGTCAACTGGCAGACCCACACAGTCTACTGGGGTCAACTGGGGTCAACTGGAGTCAACTGGCGGACCCACACAGTCTACTGGGGTCAACTGGAGTTAACTGGCTGACCCACACAGTCAACTGGCGGACCCACACAGTCTACTGGGGTCAACTGGAGTCAACTGGCGGACCCACACAGTCTACTGGGGTCAACTGGAGTCAACTGGCGGACAAACACAGTCTACTGGGATCAACTGGAGTCAACTGGCAGACCCACAAAGTCTACTGGCGGACCCACACAGTCTACTGGGGTCAACTGGAGTCAACTTGCTAACCTACACAGTCTACTGGCGGACCCACACAGTCAACTGGAGTCAACTGGAGTCAACTGGCTAACCTACACAGTCTATTGTCTATCAACAGAAGGACCTACAGAGCCATCTGCAGCTCCATATGAACATTACCTCTTTGGTTGGTGTGAGGATGAGGACGATGAATGTGACCTCCTGACAGTTAGCCCCCAGATTGGCCGGTGTGTGGAGGCGGGCAATCACCACCTTCCTTTTCGCAATGGATGTCACATCACACCTGAAAGAAAAGAGCAAGTTTCTTTACAGACCTTCAAACACACAATTTTAAAGGTTCTATGGGTGTGAAAAACCCCACTGCAGTTCATTTTCAGACAGGACACTTTCAGGACACTAAATAAATATCAAAAATATTTTACGAATGCTTCAGTTGTTAACTGAAAATATTTTATCTCCCTTTAAAGCAAAACCTGAAAGATAAAAATAACAACATATACATAATTTATTCCTAATCAATTGAACAAAATCATTTTATATTAAAAACACAAAATGAATACAATTGACATTAACATGTTCAAAAAGGTTCATTGCAACAATTGTCATAAATGGATTAAATATACTACATTAATCTTCAAGATTGAAATATTGCAAGCCGATCTGTAAAGAAACTCAGTTTTCAATCTACACAGAATACACACATCATTCAATAAAAGGGCCTTTGCTGTCAGTAGCACTTCATGAGCTGTCATGAAGCAGAATCGCAATCAAGAGATTTTGGAGGCATAATGTTTAGAAGTTGTGGCAGCTAGTGCTCATTTAGCCTGGCGCCCTGATATTTACAAAACAAGATCAGAAGTGACAACCAGTGCATGAGTGAATTAGGGGTGATGGATGATAGAAAGAATTGGCTTCGAAAGATGACGAAATAACTAGTTTGTATCATGAATTATATCACTGTAGAGGACATGCAATATGGCAGATATTATATACAATCCACTTAGTGCTCCAGAGGTATGGAGTGATGACATGCATGGATATGTGGCTGTCCCTACAGTCTCAGACCATCTCTGTGGTGTTGTGGCTAGAGTGTGTGCCCGGAGAGTGGGAGGGTGGGGGTGTGATCCCTGGACACGTCATACCTAAAGATGTTAAAAGATGGTACTTGTTGTTACCCTGTCTGGCGCTCGGCATTAAGAGGATAAAACAAGAATTGGTCAGCTCGAAGTCAGTATCCTGTGTCTGATTTGTTTGTTTGTTTGTTGTTTAACGCTGCACTCAGCAATATTCTACCTATATGACGTCGATCTGTAAATAATCGAATCTGGACCAGACAATCCAGTAATTGATATCATTAGCATCGATCCATGCAATTGGGATACGATGACATGCATCAACCAAGTCAGCGAACCTGACCACCCGATCCCGTCAGTTGCCTCTCACGACAAGCAGAGTCACCTTTGACAGCAAGCATGGGTTGCTGAAGACCTATTCTAACCCGGATCTTCACAGGTCTGAGTGAGGTATTCATGTTAAATTGTGGTACGGTATCTCAGTGGGGTAGCATTGTAAAACTGGCATTAATCCGGACTAGTACAAGCAGCCACACACACATGTGCATGCATGTCGTTACATAAGTGCAATAATCTTGATCGCGATGTTAAACCCCATTTCACCTCACCTCACCAACAGTCTCACCCTAACTAAACGCTGTCAACCGTGTACACTGTCCCACAACTATAGCCTGTTCACCAGTCTTCATTACATTATTTATACATTATTTAAGGTGGATGATCTGAAGTGTTGTGTGACCCCTGGAGTTAGATGAGCCGGTTTCTGTGAGCTGATGTAACAGATTTCCTGTGTCAGATACCTGGGAGGCTGATGGGCCGCTGTGATGAGCTGCTTGTGGATGCTGCCACACACCATGGTGTGAATGATGTTACTGTGTGACAGGCTGGTGTTGTGTGGATGCTGCCACACACCATGGTGTGAATGATGTTACTGTGTGACAGGCTGGTGTTGTGTGGATGCTGCCACACACCATGGTGTGAATGATGTTACTGTGTGACAGGCTGGTGTTGTGTGGATGCTGCCACACACCATGGTGTGAATGATGTTACTGTGTGACAGGCTGGTGTTGTGTGGATGCTGCCACACACCATGGTGTGAATGATGTTACTGTGTGACAGGCTGGTGTTGTGTGGATGCTGCCACACACCATGGTGTGAATGATGTTACTGTGTGACAGGCTGGTGTTGTGTGAATGATCTTACTGTGTGACAGGCTGGTGTTGTGTGGATGATGTTACTGTGTGACAGGCTGGTGTTGTGTGGATGATGTTACTGTGTGACAGGCTGGCGTGTGTGAATGATGTTACTGTGTGACAGGCTGGTGTTGTGTGGATGCTGCCACACACCATGGTGTGAATGATGTTACTGTGTGACAGGCTGGTGTTGTGTGGATGCTGCCAAACACCATGGTGTGAATGATGTTACTGTGTGACAGGCTGGTGTTGTGTGAATGATGTTACTGTGTGACAGGCGTGTGTTGTGTGGATGCTGCCACACACCATGGTGTGAATGATGTTACTGTGTGACAGGCTGGTGTTGTGTGGATGATGTTACTGTGTGACAGGCTGGTGTTGTGTGGATGCTGCCACACACCATGGTGTGAAGGATGTTACTGTGTGACAGGCTGGTGTTGTGTGGATGCTGCCACACACCATGGTGTGAATGATGTTACTGTGTGACAGGCTGGTGTTGTGTGGATGCTGCCACACACCATGGTGTGAATGATGTTACTGTGTGACAGGCTGGTGTTGTGTGAATGATGTTACTGTGTGACAGGCTGGTGTTGTGTGGATGATGTTACTGTGTGACAGGCTGGTGTTGTGTGGATGATGTTACTGTGTGACAGGCTGGCGTGTGTGAATGATGTTACTGTGTGACAGGCTGGTGTTGTGTGGATGCTGCCACACACCATGGTGTGAATGATGTTACTGTGTGACAGGATGGTGTTGTGGCTTCAGTGATAGAATGACATAGAACAAAACTGGATTCCCATTCACAAAGTATGTCATCCGTCTGGGTGTATCCTGGTGTCTTTGCTAACAAGGGTCTGTAATATGCACAAGAACATAAGGACTGTCATATCAATATTCAGGCTAAGTGCTGGGTGCTCTTCAAGTAATTCATTGTCTGCTTACTGGAGCGTTGCGTTTATAGGGTGAATATGGTAATAGATATGAGGCAAATCTCCCTCGAGAACATCATTCTTATTCATTTTCAAGTGTTTAGTTTGATATTGGTTAAACTACAACAGTTATATTATACGAAATATTAAAAACAATGTGGCAATATTCATAAACAACATTTGTTCCTAACCTATAGCAGAAATCCCTTCTATATTGCAAACACAAAATGGACACAATTAACATTAACATGTTCAAAAAGGTTCATTGCAACAATTTTCATAAATGGATTAAATATACTACATTAATCTTCAAGATTGAAATATTCCAAGCCCATCTGTACTGAAACTCAGTTTTCAATCTACACAGAATACACACATCATTCAATAAAAGGGCCTTTGCTGTCAGTAGCACTTCATGAGCTATCATGGAGCAGAATCGCAATCAAGAGATTTTGGAGGCATAATGTTTAGAAGTTGTGGCAGCTAGTGCTGGTTTAGCCTGGCGCCCTGATATATACGAAACAAGATCAGAAGTTACAACCACTGCCTGGACATATTGGGGGCAATGGATGATAGAAAGAATTGGATTTGGAAGATGACCAAATTACTAGTTTGTATCATGAATTATATCACTGTAGAGGACATGCATTGGCAAATATTATATACAATCCACTTAGTGCTCCAGAGGTATGGAGTGATGACATGCATGGATATGTGGCCGTCCCAACAGTCTCAGACCATCTCTGTGGTGTTGTGGCTAGAGTGTGTGCCCGGAGAGTGGGAGGTTGGGGGTGTGATCCCTGGACACATCATACCAAAAGATGTTAAAAGATGGTACTTGTTGTTACCCTGTCTGGCGCTCGGCATTAAGAGGATAAAACAAGAACTGGTCAGCTCGAAGTCAGTATCCTGTGTCTGATTTGTTTGTTTGTTGTTTAACGCTGCACTCAGCAATATTCTACCTATATGACGGCGGTTTGTAAATAATCAAATCTGGACCAGACAATCCAGTAATTGATATCATTAGCATCGATCCACGCATTTGGGACAAGATGACATGCATCAACCAAGTCAGCGAACCTGACCTCCCGATCCCATCAGTCGCCACTTACAACAAGCAGAGTCACCTTTGACAGCAAGCATGGGTTGCTGAAGACCTATTCTAACCTGGATCTTCACGGGTCTGAGTGGGGTATTCATGTTAAATTGTGGTACGGTATCACAGTGGGGTAGCATTGTAAAACTGGCATTAATCCGGACTAGTACAAGCAGCCACACACACATGTGCATGCATGTCGTTACATAAGTGAAATAATCTTGATCGCGATGTTAAACCACCTTTCACCTCACCTCACCAACAATCTCACCCTAACTAAACGCTGTCAACCGTGTACACTGTCCCACAACTATAGCCTGTTCACCAGTCTTCATTACATTATTTATACATTATTTAAGGTGGATGATCTGAAGTGTTGTGTGACCCCTGGAGTTAGATGAGCCTATTTCTGTGAGCTGATGTAACAGATTTCGTGTGACAGATACCTGGGAAGCTGATGGGCTGCTGTGATGAGCTGCTTGTGGATGCTGCCACACACCATGGTGTGAATGATGTTACTGTGTGACAGGCTGGTGTTGTGTGGATGCTGCCACACACCATGGTGTGAAGGATGTTACTGTGTGACAGGCTGGTGTTGTGTGGATGCTGCCACACACCATGGTGTGAATGATGTTACTGTGTGACAGGCTGGTGTTGTGTGGATGCTGCCACACACCATGGTGTGAATGATGTTACTGTGTGACAGGCTGGTGGGCCGCTGTGATGAGCTGCTTGTGGATGCTGCCACACACCGTGGTGTGAATGATGTTACTGTGTGACAGGCTGGTGTTGTGTGGATGCTGCCACACACCGTGGTGTGAATGATGTTACTGTGTGACAGGCTGGTGTTGTGTGAATGATGTTACTGTGTGACAGGCTGGTGTTGTGTGGATGCTGCCACACACCATGGTGTGAATGATGTTACTGTGTGACAGGCTGGTGTTGTGTGGATGCTGCCACACACCGTGGTGTGAATGATGTTACTGTGTGAC